TAAATACATACGCGAGCGACGGTTAAACGGGAATCAGAGGATTTTTACGCGTGGGAACCGCGTCACGTTTATTGTACATTTAAAACGCGTTAAAAAATGAACGTATGGTAAATAGAGCATACATTAAAATATATTATTACTGGCGCGGATGAAACGCGAGACCGATAGAGCATCAAATGGCAGATGGGAATACGAATCGCCGGCGCGTGCACGGCTCGCGGGAATGAATTTATAAAAATATGTATACGCGCGTATAATGACGGTTATTTTCAATGTAATTCGGGATATAAATGTCCGACCACGGTTTGCCGAGCGTTACACGCCTGCGAGGGGAGTTCAGTTCGTTGGATTTATTTCTGTGTTATTCTCACCTGGCGATGAATTATTGATCACCCCCGCGACGTGCTGGAATCACCTCCGATTCCTGAATAACGGTAATGCCTGGAAAAATATTAATTTCATTAGCGTGGTTTTATTTTCGGTTTTTGCCGGTGTTTCCCCGTGAAACGCGAGGGGAGATTATTCACTGGTCGAGTCGGTTTTTGGGTTGACTACTATTTGCTTTATGGGAACATTTGAATATTTGGGGCATGTGCTTGCGGTGTTGCGGAGGTTATTGGGGCTTTATATCGAAATCAGAAGTAGGTTCATTTTGGATTTTACGTTGAATTCATTGAGGATCTCACGGTGAATTGATTTAGAATCTTATTTTCAATTCACTTAGGACGCTAGTTTAAATGAACTTAGGACCTTAGTTTAAATTAATTTATAATCTTATTTTGAAGTAACTCAGCACCTTACTTCGAATTAATTTAGGACCCCATTTCGAATTAACTTAGTATCCCACTTGTAATTAATCAGCGGAAAATTTGATAATTTGAAGGCTGGAGAATTTGATAATTTAAACGATTCTATTTCATAATTTCAATAACGATATAATAAGACGTTTGAAATTATTTTAACGCATTGACTGCCACGGAAAACATCAGCGTATTACTTATTTCTTTCTAGCAAAGATAAAAAGGAACGATTATTAATTATTTGCTACAATTCTTACATTGTTATCTAGTTATTCATCAGTTTCCAAATAATTCCCAATGATTCCAGCGTTAAAGTTTCTAGTTCCCCACAATCTCCACGTAACCGATTAAGGGTTGCCTCCTCAACCCCACTACCTACCCCGAATCCAAAAAGAAAACAAAAATTAAAAACCCCCGAATCTCCTCGAACGCCTGTTCCCTCGAAATCTAAAAACCGTTACCTCAAGAACCGCATCGCCAGAAACAGCACAATAATTCCTCCCTCGAAGGGGGGTGGCAAGCGTTTCCTCGAAAAGAATGGAGCGATTAGGCTCGAAACTCTGGCCATCAAAAGAAAGCGTAGCTGTTCACCGGTCGATGAGTGGGGGCGGGTCAGATAAAAAGGAGTAAGTCGAAGAGGGAGGCCGGTCGTGTACGAGCATTCATGTGGTAATACGGTAATCCCGTAATCCTTTGCGCTATTCCTGCGGGGGAACTCTGGCCCCGGAAATTCCCGCTTTTGCGAGACAAACAGAATTAAAACCAACCTGGCCGCTCGACGCTTGCGTTAAACGCGATTAAATATGTAACGCGACGTTTCGAAAACTTTGTAACGGGAGCACGACCTCCTGACGGTGGATAATTAAGGTGGCCTTTGTGGGGATTGGTGGGACCGTTAGGTATTGATGGTTGGACTGGGTGGGCGATGCTCGGGCGAAGGTTCTTGTGGAAGGTCTTTTGAGTTTTTTGGCTTTGAGGTGCTTGGATCATTGGTTGTTGGTATTTTAAGGGCGGGGATAAATGTGGCTGTAGGTTGATTCAAAGTGGGGAGTTGAGCTGGTTTGAAGGAGGATTATGAGTTAATTTAAAGTAAAGTCGTATGTTAATTCGAAGGAAGGTCCTAAAACAATTTGAAGTAGGGTCCTAAGTTAATTCGAAGTAGGGTTCTAAGGTAGTTCAAAATAAAGTCCTATTCGAAGTAAGGTCCTACGTTAATTTCACGTAGGGTCTAAAGTTCATTCAAACTGGCGGCCTAAGTTAATTTAAAATAGGGTCCTAAGTTAATTCAAAATAAGGTCCTTGGTTAATACAAAGTACGGTAATAAGTTAATTCAAAATGGAGTCCTAAGTTAATTTAAAGTAGTATCTTAAGTCAATTTCACGCAGAATCCTAAGTTAATTCAAAATGGGTTCCCAAGTTAATCCAAAGTAAGGTCCTAAGTAAATTCAAAGTAAATTTATAAATTAATTCAAAGTTAGACCCAAATCAATCCAATTTACTCCAAAAGCAGAGATCCCAACGTCACAACCAACGTCACAACCAACAGCACAAAGAAGACCGCAAAAACATCCAATCCGCAGTCTCAAAAAATCAGCCTCCTTATCGACAGAACCATGGCTACATCAGGCAGCTTCAATTCACCAGAGATTATTAATTGACCTAATTTCCAGGCTGCGGTTAGAACACCCGCTCGTCCACAACGCGAATTGACCATCCCCCCTCCGTTCCCCGCGGTGATCGATAATTGTTATTTGACGATTTTGACTGATCAAATCACGAGCTGCGTATCGACCGCAGGCGGTTTTGTTTGCCCCTCGGATTCCCATAGAGAGACACACGGCCAGGAATTGGATGATCATAGACGGGAAAGCGTTCCGCCAGGAGACAATCCGGGTCCTAATGGGTCCGTAAACATTTGTGCGCGAAGATCAAACGGAATACCACACCGATGTCACCGTGGCACACCGCAGTGTCATCGAATTCGTATGCTAATGACTGATCCCGGCGTACCTGGAGCTGAACAGCTTCCATCGGTTTCCGTTTGACACTTTGCCCAGGTCTTTTCGCTTTCAGCCTCGGTATTCTTAATACCCTGGGCTATCTTTAGGTTTTGTACATTGAATCATGGAGAATTATTCGACTCCAGCTGGCAATTAGCAAGAACTCGCGGTGTGTCCAGTCTCCTAATTGGAGACGACTGCTACCCTAGCTTAGGGTATCTTTTGGGGACGGATAATTGGAGACTCTTGGTCTTCGCGTCTCAAATTAGCTACCAGACTATGCAGACCACTGCTTTCTACAATTATTGATTGCGCAAACAAATATATTTAACAGGTTCGCCCAGGAACGAGGGCAAAGGGTTAACAGTAAGTGGTAAAGCTGTGGCTTTAGCAATTATAGCGTACTATAACGATTTCACGTTTACGGATCTCGCGTTAAGTCCTCTTTTCACTGGCATAACTTCTTCCTCTGCTTGTACTACTTTCTCTCGAAGAATCCCACGTCTACAGATATTTTTAAATAATTGTTTAATCAAGCTTTTAAGGCTTCTACCGTATAGGTTATATTTTTATAAACTTCCAAGTATGTTGCTCCCCTCTTCACTGGTATAACTTCATTCTTTGCTTGTACTACTTTCTCTCAAAGAATACGTCTACAGATATTTTTAAATAATTGTTTAATCAAGCTTTTGAGGCTTCTACCGTGTAGATGACATTTTTATGTTGCTCCCCTCTTCACTGGTATAACTTCTTTTCCTGCTTATACTTCAGTCTTTCAAAGAATCCCACGTCTGCAGCTATTTTCAATAATCGCTCAACACGTTGACTTCTAAAATGGCCACCGATAACCAGTGCTTCCAAATTTAAAACAATTATAATTTGTCAGGCAACGTCGACTTAAAATGTTCCTTTCTATTTTTGCTACAAAAGAATAAGCGATACATAACACTGACGTTTCCCGTGGCAGTCAACGTGTTAACCCATCAAGTCCCATGAAATTTCTTTTTTTTTTAATTTTTAGATGAAATTTTGTATTTCGAGTAATGAGTGTCCACACTATCTTGGAAAAACAGTGAAAAAATTGGACATATTCAATACACTATATATATCAAGTTGCAAAAATGATAACTCTGTTATTTCAAATTTTATAAACAATTTCTCGCGGCAGTGCAATCATAGATCATTTTGTAAATTTCCAAAACTTCAAATAAAGTATAAATTTTATCTGGAAATAACGTCTGATTCAATTTATTCATTCTAAATACCAACTCATATTTACCCTAATCATTAGATACATTATTTATTAACAAATAAATTGTCTATAACAATTTACAGTGAATGATTATTAATAGATCACTGGGACTTCATGGGTTAATCAAGCTTTTCAAGCTTCTACCGTATAGACGACATTTTTATAAAGTTCCGAGTATGTTGCTCGATGCTTTAGCACTTCGAAGCCAGCCTATCTGGGCTTCTGTTATCGGCCACGGTGGTCCTTGTCGCACGACACCGTTTCACGTACAAGCGAACCTGTACGTGCGCCGAACCTGATGCCAGATTGAAATTCGAAGTAGCTACTTCGGCCAGGCTGCGTTTGACATATCCGTAGTGACTTGCAACCACACTGTCCCCGGTTTCGTCGGAAGATGTCTTTGTCTCGAACTTCTCTCCCCGTGTCTCCGTCCTTCATTCCTCCCGTTGATTTGAAAGTCGATATCCTGTTGCGGATGCCGCCGGAAGCTGGTCGATTTTTCGCTTAGACATCGCCGATCGAAACCGGGAATCGACCTATCGAACTTTTCTCCTGAGAAACTAATCCTGATCGATCTTGTGTCACGCTTTATAGTGTATATACAGGGTGTTCACGCTATTTCTAGTCAGCGTTCTTCTTGTAAATAGTAAATATTAATCCTTTGAACTCTGTAGGCTCCAATATTGCACCAGTTCTAATATTAAATATTTTAATGAATTTTAAGAAAACTACCTTAAGATTATTAGATCTTCGAAATATACAAAATTTGTACTGAGAAGGGAATTAAAGGTCTAAGAAATGTTATAACATTGTTAATTTTCAGTAGGACTACTATCAAAATTGGTAGGAGTTGCTGACATATCACAAAACTATGTGGAGTACTAAAGGTTAAACGTTAACACGTTGAATGCCATGGGGGTCACCGGTGACCCCCGACCAAATCGAATTATTATAGTTCACTCAATTAAACGATGATTATACGAAAACATTTCTATATTATACATAATGTTATCTAATACGGTGACATCCAGCTAGATGAACATGGAATAGTAATAATGCAATTCGATTAAATGATTTAACCCTTTGAACTCTGTAGGCTCCAATATTGCACCAGTTATAATATCAAATATTTTAACGAATCAAAGAAACTACCCTAAAATTATTAGATTTTCCACACATCAAAATTTTCTACTGAGAAGGAAAATAAAAGATCGAAGGGATGTTATAGCATTTGTCATTTTCATTAGAGATACCATAAAAATTAGTTACAGTTGCTGATAAATGACAAAACCCTCTGGTGTGCTAAGGGTTAATAATATATTTTTTCTATTTTGTGTATTGTGGATTCCGCGATTTAATTGTAGATCGTTATTATTTTTCATTCTTAA